ATGCAAACAGAAAGCCAATTCTAGATATAACAGAACCAGTTCTTAAGTTTTTTACACATTATTAATACTCAGTGATCATCTGTCACTTTAAAATCACACAGTTCTTTCATAAGACAAACTTGTGAGATGGTGATAAACACACAGGATATACTTTACATCAAATCCAAACATACAAAATTTAACAGGTATATATTTAGATTTTTTTAAATGCATCAGTAAAGTACAGGATGGAAGCAATCTAACTAACCTGTCATGTGTACGGAAAAAGATCTAATGGATTTACTTAATAGGCTTATAACATTTGATATGACATTTGGGTATTTTAAATAGGCAAGATTAGGACACTGTAAAAAGTTGTGCAATGTCTAAATTAACAATTGTATGACACTGGACAAATCACAAATGATAACCATTCTGGGTCTTGACTTCCTCATTTACAAAATGGGGGTTATACCTACCCCACAGGGAATTTTTATAAAGGACTCTGTGAACTATAAGGGAATATGCAAATATTAGTAATAGGAATAGTTTTAATGAAAAAATAGATGTATTACCTGATCACATCTGGATTATTAAAGTGTGAGCTTCATATTTTAAGAAAGACATTCCTTATCACATCAAAATATGTAGAGGAGAAGAGGCCTACACAGAGAACTAGAAACCATGTTGAGTGTGGAATGGATGCAGGAATTAAGGATGTTTTATCTATATCTAGAAGTTATTAGACAAGTGGTAACTGCCTTCACATATCTGACAAGAAGTATAAATAAGAAAAAAGATTTTGGTTTATCGAAAATATTCTTTAACAATTACAAGTTGCCCTTAAAGAGAGCTCCCTATGTAGGAAAGTATTAAGGTCCCAAAACAGCTCATCATTACCCATAAAGACATAAGAAAGGCATTTTATAGAGACTTTCTGAATTGTGTGTGTGTGTGTGTGTGTGTGTGTGTCTTTTAGGGGGAGATGTATCAGTATTTATACTGAGACTCATGAGTATTGCAAATGAAATTTGGAGGCAAGGAGAGTGTTGGGTGAAATTTTTAAAAGTGTGTGTGTGTGCGCGCGTGTGTGCGTGTGTGTGTGTGTGTGTGTGTGTGTGTGTGTGTGGGGTAGGGGTGGTCTTGGGGAAACGAGCTGATGCTTCCAGAGTTCAGAGGTACAGAAAACAGAAGAAAATGACTGATTATGGAGTGGTGAATGGAATCTTACCCTGAATGCCACAATACAGTTAAGGGGTTAAGTTATAACTCATGTAAAAATGAATCTCACCGAATGGTTCCCAAAGTCCAGATGTAACACAAAGTACAGGTAGGCTTTGCAGGGCTCCAGAAATGATCTGATACTAACATCACTCTCCCAACCATTAGTTTTCATTCCACAAAATGCTTACTGAATGTCTAGTCTATCATTTTCTCCGGTGGTGCTCTACCCTTCTGCAGCAGCCTTCTAAAAGCGAGCCGTTCTGCTTGGTTTTGTGTCTCTTTAGTGGCTCAGTGGAGGTTGGCCATTCTGAACAGTCAGTGACAACTTTGGGTTGTGTAGCACCTGTGTTTTTGTAAGGGTGTAAGTTCTCAGGCTTCATTCAAGTCAAAGTATTTTGCTGCCTATGCAGCAAATCCCTGTATGGTTACATGTCTATTGAAATTTATAAGATTTCTGATGTTAATAACTTTCCAAATTAAAATATGTCCAAATTTCCTGTTTTTAAAAACACCAATCCACTGTTTTACACCATTACACAACTTACTTCTATTGCAATAGTGAACATCAGTCTCATTTTTTTCTGAAAGATGGTTCCTATCTTAGGGATTTAAATCAAAGTCACAAAAATTCCTGTGATCTGAAACATAACTTTAATTGGCATATTTTTCATAACCCAGCTATGAGCTTCATTTTTAGAAAGTGTCATTTTAGGCCTTAAAACAGTACTTTGCTTCATTTCTCAATTTCAGAAATATGATTTCAGGAAATGAAGTAGCTTCCTGATTATTTTATACTAAAGCCAAATAAAACAGGTATGGGTATAGTTTGCCACAGTCACAAACATTTCCAACCCAACAGACCAAGCACACATCTTTTAAGAGTTCTTCTCATTGTACTATTTACCCAAACCAAGAGATAAAGTTTGTTTTGAGATTGTTTTATAAATAAATGTTCGATTTTCAAAACAAGCATGGATACTTTGAAATTAACTATTTTAGTTTTATGAAATGTATGACTTAAAAAAAAATTAAGACCACTTTGCTTTTTATTCCTCCTTACTATTTATCACATACTAGGGAAAGTAAAAAACTTTCATGCTTTCAATTTTAAAATGATGTCTCAATTTAAAAAGAATTAGTCTTAGTAAGACTACATCCTTCCAGACCTACAGAAGATGATACTCCTGTGGAAGGCAGCAGTTCAAAAGACCCTGATGAATTCAAAGACAACATATGCTCACCACCAGTCCATTAAGCGGACTTAGTTTGAAACTTATTTATTTAAGTGTTCATCCTTTGCTAAAGTTTATTATAGTTGAATTTGAAAAAAACTGCCAGAGACGGTCTTGACAGAACCAATTCTCAATCAGTGTTGAGTCCTGACTGTTAAAGAAGGCAGGAAGGAAGATCAGATGAAAACACTCTCAAATATAAATTAGAAACTCTAATTCTTACTTCACCATATTCTGGAGCTTTATACTGAACTAGAACACTTTGGTGAAAAAAGTTATACTAAAAATAGTATTTGTAAAAGATTGAATTTCAGTCATATTGTCTAGAAGTATTAAGTAATTTATAAAAGAGCTAGAATAATTTAGCAGTTAGAGAAAGTAAATAATGTCAGTTTTATAATGTCAAAAATCTTATCAATTCAACATTTAACAGTGCAGTGGTTGTTAACATGTTCTAAAACCCAGACTATACTTTGTTTAAATGTGTTGTTTTGATTTAAGAGAAAAAGAAGAAAAAAAAAGAATATGACCACTTAAATCAAGAGTGAGTCTAGAAGTAAGCTAAAAGCTGGTAGACTGGTTAGTGAGGAGGTAACTGATCATAGCAGCAGCCTGATAGGAAGAGAGCTTTGCCCTTTGAAAAGGGAAAGAAAATTCAGGCCTGTCAGGGATCCAGTAGGGGAATCACAGCACAGTGCACACTCAGATCTAGTCGAGACCTCCCCCTCTAATTGTGGTAAGTTACATGGAGAAAGAAATGACTTCTTTTTTGTCCAAAGAGAGAAAAATACACTGGATAAAGAGGTGAGCACAAGCTATCAGAGTAAGATTCATGGTGGTCAAGAATTAAAACCAGAAAGCATGTTATAGACAAAGGCTGTAGGGCTCTGTGTATTTATTTGGAGATTATGTAAGATCTTTGTTTATTTTAGTAATAGGCTTTATTCCAATCACCTACCATTTAAAATACAGGTGAGGTCTTGGGAACATACACTTAGCAGCATTAACTACACTAAAGTTCAAAATATGTTACACATTTCTGGGGCTGGGTAATACTACAGTTAGGTTAATTAGGGAATGTTAACAGTTTGGAGTAAAAAGAAATGTATCCCCCAGCAAATCTTACCCTAAGTGAGGGGTGAGGGGTTAGCATATATGTATCAGTAAACCATAATGATAACTTTTAATTAAAATTTACATTTTTAACAGAGAACACCTAAGCAGAACAATGGTATATAGTCCAACATTCAGCTTAAGGCCAGTAAGAAGCCTTCCTACTTGGTTGATGAAGACATAACCCAGGGCCTCCTTTAGCTTTAGCTGGACACTCAATTTACAGATGGAATAAAGAAAAACATAAAAGGCTTCAGGGTGTCAGTGTTCTTGCAAATGCCCACATATAAAATGACAATGTTTAAAAACATCCCAGTAATGTACCAGATCACTACATTCTGCTCTATAGACTTGTTATTTCAGTATGCAAGACTGGTAACAGCATGAATGCTACCAGTCCTTGGGATAAGTTCTCACCATATTAGGAACAGCGCTAGGCTATAAAAGTTGATTGCAGTCAGTTTTCCTGCATTTCTTCTTGGAGATGGTGATGGTATTATCATCTTTAAATCCTTGTGAAGCTTTCCCTCTGTTTCATTATGCTGAAAACAACCTCCTTAATTGAAAAAAAAATCAGATATGCTATCATTTTATATGGTGTAGCATATAGTAGTTCTTCAAAGATGAATCTGAGACCACACCTTTAGTGTGGTGTAGTGCATCTTGATGCCATTACTGCAAGGTTTTTTTTCCCATTCTTTAATACTAGAGATGTCACCAGTATAGTGGTCATGTATGTTGATCCTTAAATGTTCTTTGGAACTGGACAGAAACCTTGGGTAAATTTAATTTCACCTCTGTCTTACTTTTTTTAGTTCTGACATTGGTAATTATTTCAAGTCTATATTAAGGGCACCTGTATGGTTACATTTGTCCTTGCCCCACCCGCTAAAGTGACTCCAAGATCACTGGGCCACATTTAACTCAAGGCTGTTTTGACATCTTACAGGATCTGTGGTGACAGTTACCAGCAGATAGATTCTTTAAACGCCTTCAAATCATTGTCTGCACTGATATTCACAGCTGAAAGTCCTTGACTTGTGAGAACTACTGTAATAAATTGTAAGACAACAAAGTTTTGAGAAGTGATAGATTCTCAATCTTGAAGTTTTTTTCTGCTTGAGTTACACGTATGAAAACAAATTCAGATGGTGAGGACTAACAACTTTAAATTGTAAGAATGTGATTACGGGCAAAGCACAATCCTTCTGAGCCTTGTTTATTATTACCATTATTATTACTTGGTCTGTAAAAGGAGGATTGTTAGAGACTATGTTATATATTTCAGAGCTCTGAAATTTACTACCCTTTCCTTAGGTTCTTCCAAAGAATGTGACACAGGATGAGTATGCTTAGCACTGGGACTAAAATTTGGTGAGAAAAAGCTATGAAAATATTTGTTTAGATAAAACATAACCAGGGGTGAGGTAGACACCAGTATTGTAACCTCAATGCATTTAAATACGGTCTTTATTTCTTAAAAAAAAAAAATTTAGAGAAAGATGGGACAGAAATGAAGTACTTATATTGAACATATGAATTAATCAGAACAGCAGGAATAAATACTAGAAAAGTTACAGAGCTGGCCCAAGACTTTTTCCTCCACTACAATCACTAAGTGGAGAATTTAAATGAAAATTACTATATATAAGCCAACACACATGCATGCACACAACACATTTAACCTCATGTCCCTACAAAGAGCTAAGCTGATAGTTTGCCTTTGCTAAGCAAACCTTTGCTTACACAATGCTAATTAAACATCATGAAGACAGAAAGGCTGTTATATAATTTCACAACTACTCAAGACGGTTGCTTCAAACATTTTTACCTACTCTGGCAATCATGTGTCCTAAGGGTCTCTTACCTACAGGTCTTTGCCCACTCTTTTTGAACAGTAGGATATAAAAGTTTCTTGACCCACAAGTTTAAGTAGTACTTTTGCAAAGTAGGGCATCTTTTAAGGTCTAACATTTGCCTTTCAGCCCACTGGGTAAAACACTGCATCTCAATGCAGCTATTACCACACAGCCTCAACAAAGAACAGGCCCAAGTCCTCAGAGCTGGAGTTATTTATTCTGCTATTTTAACACTGAGATAAAATGCAGTGCTGGGCCACTGAATTATGCACTAGTACGATTACAAACTGTGCACTTTACTTAATTGTTGCTATGATTCAACTCAATTTTTAAAAGGGGGGTAATGAGTGCTTTAAAGGCTTTATGAATTATATGGAAGGGGAAAGGAAGCTTTTGGGGGTATTGCTTTGTGACAGAGCACAAAGTGGGTCTGAGTACTAAATACAAACTGGAACAACAATACTACTCTATGCACAGCATGTTCCAAGGTCAGTTTGGAGCTCCCAGGAACCTTTAGAAAAACCGTAATATGTGAAGTGGGCTAAGAACAAAGTCAACAGCTGCCTTAGGAAGTATGGTCTGAAGGAACCTGGAGAAAATGGGTTGGTTATTAAGTACTATATCCAGCTGTTTCATGGAACTTCTAGGTGGCAATTTAGATTGTTTAGGCTTGCCTTCAGTTCTAGTATCTAACAGGTATAGACTCGATTTTTGCGTAACTAAAGCCCAGGGCAGACCCCCTATAACATGATAGACCAGAGTAGATTCTCCTAATAAATCTTGAATTCTCAAAGAGTGATTCTTTGGGAAAGGGTCCTGATTAAAGAGGCTAGAGGTTTGTATGCCCAGCAATGTAAGGTTGCTAAAAATAACACTCATGGCAACAAATCATGGGGCAGAAAGATCTAGGGAGCAGTGGCTTTTTAATTCATCAGTGTGGTTTCAGATAGTATTCTTATGTAATGATTTGTACTTTAAAGCATTACTACTTTAAATGTCCTAGTTGATATTACAGCTGACATACATGACAAGTCCACTTTAAAAATATGTTAGTGTCAGGAAATTAAGGGTGCTTTCAAACTAGGTGTATTTGCTATTAATTCAATACAGAGAAAAAATATGTTATATATCTTTATTCCTGTTCTACTACACCACCAGCAATTTTTCCTAAAGGTCATATCTAAGCATACAAAATACAAGGACCAAGAATTCATTAAATCAGTAACATGTTGCTCTCTATTTATTCACATAACACATTCTCTTTGGGGGAAAACTGTCAAAGTATTTTTATGACCTATTATCATAAAATTATTATATTCTCCCATTTCTACTTTTCATGAATTTACTGCTTTTCATCTAATTTGTTATCTAAATAAAGCAGAATGAACTTGTTCAACTAAGGAAGAAAAGATACTTTCCCTGTGAGGTAGAAATCTGATTCTTTCCAGTTTGTATGTGAGTCCGGAGAACCTAGCTCATTCCTATAATAGGGTTCCTCAATGATCAGTCTTATTCCATGCCATACCACCTTCGTCTAAATCTTTGACATAAGCAACATGTCCACCAATTGCTTAAACTCACTGGGCTACCTACACCTGTCCAACCTCACTGCTGGCTTTTCCCAATTGTGCCCCTGCACTCTTCTTCCGTGTCTTCCTATCATGCTGAGGAAGGAATGCTTATTCCATTGTTCCTTTGGATCACCTTCAACTTGTAAGAAACATGACCTAGGATTCCCCAGGCAATACATGCTTTCTACAATTCTCTCATGCAATCTGACTTCCTACTTTCAAGAAAGGATGGGTGAGAAAGAGGATAGAGAAGAGACCACAGGGGTTCTGAAAGCTAGCATTCCTTCCAACCTCCAGCCCCAATGTTAGATATCTATCTACATCCTATCTCTGGTTCTCACTCATCATTCAGCACTGAGTGGTCATCAAATAGACCAGTCTCCTAATCCGTCACTCCCTTAACAGCACTGTACCTGTTCTTTATCTGCATCAAAATCTAAAATCACTGAACTCCTTTCAACATACTCGCAGCACTGGTTCTTTCCTAACTTAGTGGGTTCTTCTTGACCACAAGATTAGGTATTTCAATGCTGTTTGCTTAAATAGCTGTGTCCTTTTTTCTTCACCTTCTTGCCAAACTCTCAGTATTTGCTTTACCCACTCCTGATGCTTTGTGCTGAACCAGAGAAACATATAAAACCATATACATTTGGACACTAAATTTTAAAAAATTTGGTCCTTATCTTTACCCAGTGATTCTTCAATTTCTTTCCGATGCACACACAGGCTTATTGTCACACATTTTCTTACTCTCCCTTTTTTACAGGCTCCCAACTCCATTCTCACTCCCATTCTCACACAATGTGCATTCAATTATTACTGAAGTCAGCCCTATCAACTATTTTCATTGTCTTTAATCTCGCATTCTCTCTCCTAGATTCTCTTATTTTTCTTACAAGTAACAGGAAGATATAGCCACCTCCCCAAAGCTGAACCCATAACTTAACCTCACTTCAAGAGCTTACCTCCTCTCAGCACCTACAGAAATCCACTATCCTACTGGAGTAGCCTATCTTGTCTTCAGCACTGCCAATGTCTTCCTCTGCTTTGGCTCTGTGCGTTCTGCCTTTAAATATTTAGGTATCTCCCTTACCTCAGAGCAACACCTTCTAACATCTATCACCTATACAGTTAGCTTCTTGTTTTTCCCTTTGTTGCCAAATGTCTTAAATAAGTAGCCAATGACTGTTGCATCCATATCCTTGACATTTCCTCATGAATCCTAGGAAAGCACCTGTACCTTATGAAAGTTACATTTTTAAAGGTCACCAGAGATCTAGCCAAACCCAAAGGCATTTCTTAGATCTCATGCTTTCTGACCTCTAATTCATAATTTCTTCTTCATTCCCACGATTACTGTTTTAGTCCAGGTCATCTTATTTGCCCTGGCCAACTATGATATCCTGGAACTGCTTTCTAACTGGTCCTAATTTCAAGTAGACCTATTACCAAACTAACCTCAAAATGCTACAATCAAGTAACATCTTCACCAAAGAACCACAGTTCTCTACTACTAACACATCCACATTGAGACTAAACCTTTTCCCTAGTTTTCAAGGCTTTTGCACACGCATGCCACCTTCCTGTAAGACCTGTATATCTTAGAAGAGCCCATCTCCTGTCATTCCCTCCTAACCCCAACAGATCATGCTAATTTGTCTCTGGTTCTTTGTTCAATCTGTTCCCTTTACTGTATTTTTTCCTTCCATCATCTAATTTCAGCCATTGTTCAAAATCAAAAAGCTCCACACTTTTTATGAGGCTTTTCCCTGAGCCAGCCCACTTCTTTCTCTCTCATTTTTACTTTTGTAACAGCCTAGTGTGTGATTTATTCAGTAAATATACCATATGTGAATATCTACACATATTATTCCCATTTTTTCAGCACAAGGAGACAATGAAGTAGGGACTTGTCCAGATACAAAGGTTAAGATGGGAGAGTCACAGCATTATGGTCAGAACTAGCGTGAGAACACATAACTGACTTTGGCCATATTTTATGGAAAAATATATAAATATCATTGTTTCAGATTACCTCTTTATAATTTTTTTTCAAGTTATTGTGTTTTCAATTGTATGATAGTCATCTCTTAAGGCCAATTAAGCATATTCGAGGAAACTTCATGATCAAATAAAAAATCTGAAACCTTAGTACTCAGCATGGGAAAAAATGTTCCCTAGTTTCATGTATACATAAATAACATGTTGGTCTTCACTTTTTAAGATTCTAATGCACCTGCAATTTGTTCACAAATCTCTTCGCTTTCCTGAAGCAATGTCTCTGTGGGAGCAGGTGCTTATGCACCTGTGTCACAGCATACATCAGCTCTCTAGCAGTCTTGAAGATGCTTGTAATACCATACAAACAGGAGCTGTATCAGTAAAAATGTGCACAGATATAATGTATTACAGTTGTTTTCTTTAAAAGAACATATATATAAAAAGCTCTATTTAATTCCCAGGACACTAAGAGTAAGAGACATGAACACACACAACTGAGATATACTTAAATTAGAATAATGAATGCATGTCTCCCCTATTAAGATTTTTTTCACTCCCTCCACATTATCATATATTTTAAAAATTTCAATTGTCAGTATTCAATAGCTTGTTGCCCCTGTCAGAGCAATGAATAATGAAATGAGTCTAGGAGGCTATTGGCTGTTCTTTTGGATAAATTATATTAAGAGTTGACCTTGCAGAAATAATTTGAAATACAATTGTCACTAGAATGCTATCCTTGATGACAGGGTCTGTACTTTATTCAAACTTATATCCTTCAAGATCTAGCCCAGGTCACTACATAGAAAAGGCACTCAAATATTTAATTAACACTCCGTTAAAAAGAGGGGAGTACACAAAAGCACCACCTAGAAAAACAAAATTAAACAGTAGAATGAAAAGGAAAGTATTATTTATCAGAAAATATTTTCTAATGGAATCTTTAAGAAAATAAAAGAGGAACTTGACATTCATCATGTGACTAAAATCACTCAGTCAGGGCTATTTTCTACAGTGGCACCAAAAACTTCAAGTCAGTTGTTTTTGTTTTTTTTTCCTAGAGGGGTACCACCAAACCCTTGACAAATATAGTTAACTATGAATCTTCTCCCTAGAAAAAGATAGGCAGAGGTACATATAAATAAACTCCTAACTTTCCAAATACGTCCAAAGAGTTCTGGACTCCAACTTAAAAAATTATGACTTAAGTTACAGCCTAGTCATTTTTTAAAAGTTAAGACTGTAGAAGTTTACAAAGTTTTCCTTGTGCATGGATAGGTCAATCATGCAGAAATTTATCAAAAACTAATCTGAAGCTTTTTAGAATTTCTCATTTTTTACCATCATTTGGTTTCATCAATTTACTTGCTATGTGAAATGGTGCTTTCTTTTACGGGTTATGCAATTTCTTCTGCCCTATAGTATAATTAAGTGTGACTCTGATTTTTAAGATATCACTTTTAATTAAAAACCATAGACAAAATATTAAGTAAGCAAAATGGTGAGGCTTATTATTCTAGTTTTACAAGGTCTCAGAATCACAAAGATGATTAAACGATAATATTTAGCTATTCTATGTGAAAATATATGTTGAGGCTTAATTGCCCAAGAATCATTTCCTTGATTCTTATGTGTAAAAGTGGGGAGAAAGGAGAAACAGGGAGGGAGGCAGTTCTGGGCTCCAGTAAGTCTGAGCAAACTACCTGACAGTTTTTTGGCATTGGTTAGGAATGGGAAAGGAGAGAGAAAGCCAGGACAGGAAAGAGAAGCCTTATTTAACAGTTTTATCTCTCAACACAGAGAAGTAATAAGTAAATGGGAGCTAACCACCTCTTATGTCTTTGTAAGGAGATCTGGGCAATGAAAGATTTGCGTGACGGCTGGAGAAAGCTATGTTCTGGTAAAGCCTCATGCCAGGGAGCCTGAGTTCCTTACCAAAGCCCACTAGCCTTAGCACCACAGCAGCAGACACTGAGTGTGCATGTCTTGACCTCTTACAGCAAAAATAAAACCATGATTAATGCATGGTAAAAGGCTTCTAATAGTCTACAATATTTTACTTGTATTTTCTAAATTTCTTGTAATGCTATCCTAAAGTCACTTCGAAACAGAAATTAGGGATTGTCATTTCCGCAGAATTTTACAAAAAGGATTTAAAGAACTAGTATAATTCGCTGTTTCTATACTAGTTAAACAAATGGAAGGATGGCTAATAGATTTTAGTTTACCCACTGTACCTCAAGACAAAGCCATTTAATTTGTTGTACTGTATCTAATAGAAACTAATCAGATTTTACAGAGAAGTAACCTTGAAAACTCCAACTCCAACATGTTATCATCTCCTAATAAGGTATTTTATTATAACTTTAAATCTTTAGGCTTCTTTTTTTGGTACTCACATTACTCTTAATATTTTTAACAAATTAAGGCATATCTTTTATCACTATTGTTTTTTGAAAATCTCAAGAGGAGATCTGACTTCACCCTTTCTTCTCAGATGCTTAATTCAGGCAGAATATGTCATGTTTTCTCAATCAGCTATTGTCCACTGCTCAAAATTGAATTCAGTTTATTTTCTTTCATTATTAGTTGTAAAATTATTTTAAGGAACTGTGTATTGTCCAAAAACATCCAGACTTCACATTTTTGTGTCCTAACAAAGTACTCCACACTCTTCACTGTAATTAACTAAAATTATCTAGGATGACTTATGTGACCTAATTTTGCAGGATCCCCAATCTTTTCTCTTCTACCTTAGTCTCATTCTGGTCAGGTACTTCCAATATAGTTTTATTATCACATTTCAATTATTTAACAATGAAACTTCCAAACAAATATCCCACAGAACTACTGTTCGTTCAGTAAAAATGTTACACTCCTACAGTTGCTTCTCACAATGTTTACCCCATATTCAAGCTTCTGATAAATCAACTGTAAGCTGAAATTGTTTCTGAGGCATTTTCTGGTATACTAGGCAGTGCATTAGGAAGATTATATTGCATTTAGTCTATAATAATTATCTTTTAACCATCTATATATAGTTAACAACCATTCAAAAAGAAAGTGCAAATGTGCAAATGAGAGAACAAAAACAGTTTCTAAACATGTAATGCATAATATAGGATATAAATCCATACAACTAAAAGCAATTGCTGACAACATCCTTCCAAGCAGTAAATGACACCACCAGTTTTGTTTCATATGTATTCTTTCTTCTCAAGTATTAAAAGAATGCAATAAACATTATCTTCATAATTTTCAAGTTATTCATGAGTATATTAGGATATTACCATTTTTTCACAAATCAGAAAACAAGGAACTACCGTTATCTTTGTATATATTCAATAATAGAGCCAAAATAAGAACAATTCTAGCTAATCTCATTCAGGATCTTAATTAGTACTACAAGTTTATTTGTGTGAGTTAAAAATAGTATCACTCATGAGAAACAATGCCAAAATTATTATGCTACTAAACTGTGTTAAGGCCTAATGAAGAAATACTTCAGCAACTATGAGGTAACACACTAGTTGTAGGCATGAGGAACGATTATATTGGCTCTTTTGGGTGTATACATTAAATGCAAACTCAGAAAGGAATCATGCAAAAATCCGGTTGCCCATGCAAGCACCCCAGAGTCTAATCCTCTCCTCTCAGTTCTGTTGTCAGGCCACAGTAGTGTGGAGACTTGTAGGCTGCTGTCCTTGTTGTAATGAATGGGAAGAGGCTGACAGTGGCATGGTCGAAACCTTCACCTCTTCTTCCCCTGTGGAAAAGTCAGTCATGGTCTAGTTATGGGTGACTAGATTTGTTAACAGTCCCTTTAAAAATGATTTCAATATTTGGAATACTGATACATTATAAAATACATGCTTAAGTTGGAATCTGGGTGTGAAACAAGACATGAATCTTAAAATATACGCTTATGAAGTACCTAGAAAATACTTACACTCTAAACACACCCTTAAATTTAATACTATGTTAGATTTAAGAATATAATAGATTTAAGATTATAAATATACAAAAAGGGAAAAAAGACCAGGAAAGCCATTCTTTTCCAAGCCAATTGGACCCCTTTTTAATTTGGATAATCCTAATCAAGTAGTATTTTGTGAAAAAATTAAAACTGAATTCACAGAAGTGAAAAATGTGATTTTTATGGGAGAAAAACGACAAATCCATTTTTAAAAGCAGCAATTATGTTTATAAAAAAGAAATAAGATATCGGTACTAATTTAGCACATTATCATATAGCACCTGAAAATTTAATGTGTACTTTTGAAGGAAATATTATTAAGGAAATTATAAAATGCTAACAAGGCAATGATCCAATTGACTGAAAGTGAGATGACTACTTCTAGGTCAGAGAACTACAGATGAAATAAGATCAGTTATCTTAATTATAATTGATAATTACTTGGCTACAAGTGACTTGTTTCACACGACTCAAAATTCAATTGAGTCACCATTAAAATATCTACTTCAGAAATAAAGAATACTTAAAGAAAAATGTCCTCTCATAAAGAAAATTTGAATGAACAAAAACATGAAAAAAATTCAATCTTAAACAGACTCAAATATTTTTCTAAGTATATCCTGAAACAACAATGCTAAAAGACTTAGACTTACTATTAATTGTTTTCCAAATAATTCTTAGCATTATAGAATAAAAACATCTTGGCAGAGGGTTCTTTGAAAAACAAAATCTGCAAAATTATGTTTGGAAGTACTGCTTAGCTGAAAATGACTTTCAATCTTTAGAGCAGGTTGTTTCAGTAAATTAGCAAAGATTCCATATAACCCCAAGTACACAGCAAGAAGGCTGTGTAAAGGAAATTTAAGACTAGAGTTCTTAGTGAGAACATGGCACCGATAGGGGCTATATACATTAATTTTTATCAAGTCAATAAACTTCATTTCTATTTTGTAACTATAAACCATATCCCTGACTTGGGCCAAATGCCTTACAAATAGATGCTGTCGATAAAAAAGGACCTCAAAATGTGTGAGAGCAAAAATCAATTACTACGGGAAGAAAGCCAAGTTAAAGTACAAGCCTGTGATCTTTATTTATGAAGGAAACCTTCAATGTTGTAGTGCAAAAACATTTCAGTTGCTGAATTTGGGATCAGGGTTTTTATCCTACTAATTCTACCACTAATTGAATGTGTGGCCTTTAACAAATTATTTAATCCCTCTGGAACACTGCTTTGCATTCTTAAAATGAAGGAGTTGGGCAAGTCAAGTCACTTTATAGGATGAGAAAAGTCACCTTTTAAAACAAAAGCAGGTGTTTCAAAAATAAAAAAGATGTGAGTGATTGGACTTACTATAATTGCCCACTAATCAATGTTTTCCAAGAATAGTTATTTCAAAAATCCTTCTAAGATCAGTAATCTGAATGTGCAGCCAAAAAAAAATGCTGCTAAAGAGTTCACCTAATTAAGGAAATCACTGATTTTAAACACAAAAACATTTTCAATTCAGCAAAGGAAATGGAAGCCGCATTTCTGTCAAACCTCTGGCAACTGTCCTTCCCATGATAGGTTTCAGATATATAAATTTTTAATAATTAACTAATATAAGCCAAAATTAAAAATGTAAACATGTAATAAATACAGATATGGTATTGTATGATACTTAGGTTGACTGACACCTCTGGGTATTTGCTCCTAATGGTCAGGGACCCTATTTTGCTCAAAGTATCTAAAGAATAAATATATATATGGCTTTTCTAGTGTTGAATTATGTCTAGAATATATTACAGTGACAGATCTTGCTGAAATAATATGTACTCTTACTCTCTATTATGAAGCACTTTAACAAACAGCTACTTTGTGTAAGATACCATGATACTCGTAGCAGGGTACAAAGAGTGAACCTATTTAAATAGTTCAACTCAAGTGCAACCGAATTACAACTAGGGGTAGGGGAAACAGATGCTGCCTGGGTATTAAACTGCTTTAAATTAGACACAGTTACAGTGTACATGGGTTCCCAAAATTTTACTTTATCATTCCTGATTGTTACTGAAAATCTTAAATCACCTGCCTACAATTACACAACTATTCTGCTTTGAAATTAGCACATTCAGCTTCCTAAGGTATTTATCAAATGTTTGTAGGCTGTGAAAGAATTCTGTGTAACTCTTGATAATAATTTTAAATATTTCAGTACATTAAAATTGTAATTCTGCCAGTCATCAAAGCTTTAAAAATAACCTAATAATCTTAGTCCTAAATTACCATTTAAATACCAGGTATAAGAATGCACAGTCAAAACCTGAAAATCCAAAATAACTCTCCCCATCTCCTACAAATATAAAACAATGATTCAGAACCTATAGTTGGTGACTTCATTATTAGAATTTCTGAAAAAAAAAGTATTTTAGTTTACATGGTTGAGTATACATTAAAAGAAAAGAAAAACCCCCAGAGATAGGATCCTAACTTAATGCCACATTTTTGTCATAAAGCACTACTTTAGATAAAGATTTAAATGACTAATATTATGACAACTACACTTAAAAATTAGTGATTACTTACTACTACTGTGGCATTTCCAGAATATCTACTGACTTGAAATACTTGGGTTAAAACTGTTTTGCTAATGGACAATATGATAACCATGAAATTGGAAGAACAGATGATTTTCTTAAGATGATTGATGGTCACATAGTAAGTCAAATAAAAGTACACAGTGGAAACAGAAACTAGAGTTCGCAAAGGTATCCTCCTTCCTATCAGATCAAGTCCATACTGTTTTGCCTTGCTCCCAAAGCTCACCTTCCTACCCACTCTAGCTGTACAAGAAACACCTCCTGTAAAAGAAGGCAATTTCCGTGCTTCTTAATGTAATGACGTACTAGTTCCTGCCTTTATGCCTTTATTCAGGAGTTCCCAACAACATAAAAGGTCTCTTTCCCTCCTGCTTACCCAAATCCAAGATACCATACTACTACAGCTCAATTCCTGCTTCTTCAGTGAAGCCTCCCTAATGATTACAGGCTCCACGGATGTCTCTGATTCCAGTATCATATAGTTACCACTTCCACATACAGTCTTATCTTGAACTACACTGTTGAATCCCTGAAAACAGTAAATACTTTCATACTTCTTCTATATTACCCCCATGGCCTAGCTCATTGTTGGGCAAATAGGAACGTAAATATTCATTGCAATTGGTTTAATATTTTATTTTTAAATATTTAGAATATGTAGGGAAACTTAAGTTTAAATGTTATAATCAGTTATGATACACTACTAGTAATTAAAATGCCACATTTCTAGGTTATTAAAACAAAGCAAAACAGGACAAAATTATACTCTAATATGCTATCTGAAATGGAAGAAAAAAAGGAGTACTGGAAACTGAACACTTAACGTTTCAGAAGTGAGTATCATGTAGAAGAAGCACTGGAAAAAAACTACTATTACCATAATCAAAGGAGTAAGTAACATGAATTCCACCAATGTGCAAACATTACATTAGGGGCCATCATGCTTATGTAAATTAACTTCACTGTATCAACTATTACCTTCACTACATCAACAGCCACAAACCATACCCTCTTAATCCACCTACTTGTCTTGAAAATGAAATGCTGATCACAAAGGGAATAGAGCCAAAGAATTCTAATGGATCTCTGTAAATTCACCCTACTAACCTAGCCAAAAACAAGAGAACGAATGCCTTGCTGGTAATAGCACATTATGACAGTAATGCTGTGTCACGTCCTATTTTAACAGCCATGACCAGGGGTAAAGATTTTATGAATTATGTAGGAGAGTGAGGGACTATTCTATTCTACTTGAGAGAATCAGGAGAGGAACAATCTTTCTTTCACAAGTCATCTCCAAAGCCCAAATTAAATTTTTAAAAAAAACTATTATTAGGAATGATTCCTTTAGATATAAAAGTTATTTGATCTAATAAATGTTATATGGAACCTTAAACCCAGAAGTTCTGAAACCTTCAAGGGTAGCAGTAAGAAACCAGAAGTGTTCTGGCATCACTTATAGGAACCTAATATTTTTCCCAGAAATAAAAACATGACAGACCAAAAGGTAAAATCTCTTTGGACAGCTACTTTTTCACAGAAAGGATACTTATACAACACATATGATATATATGTGTGAAACAATAGAGTTCTTAAATATTAAGTACTTTATTAATATATAGCACAGTTCTGATGTGTGTATGTATGTGTGTATCAGTCAAGATAAGCAATTGCCAAAAGTAGTTAGAAAGTGGCTTTATCCCTCATGCTCTCATTAATTACTATCTTTAAAAAAAATTTTTTAACCACTTTACTTTTAGAATGTATAACCAGATTTTTTACAATGGTGTTAGACTTTATAGAACCATAATTTCAGAGCCCATTTTTTTCTTTTTCTATATGCCATATAAAAGTTTGGTAACTATCCTATTAAGTAAAGTGCTTCCAAGCAAAAACTAGTTATTAATACTCCACCATCCTTATAAAGCTCAATATTACAAGGCATCCATCCATTCAATTAATTTTTTAGATTATGATAAGGACTTTAATTTTTTTCCCATAGAAGTTTCCAAGACTAATGATCAGTACTCTCTGTTATTCAAAATTCCCTCCCTACCCACCCAGCCACCTGAAGGCATGAGTCATTCATAAATTCTCAAAGGCTATAAATGAACCTACCTGCTATAGGGATCCCTCCCAGACCTGTGTTGTGCTGTGGCGGGAGATTCAAGTCCAAGAAATTACTATTTGAGGTGGGGTTTGCTGTGTGGTTCAAGTGCATGATGCTATTGCGTGGAAAGGCCATCCAAGGATAGCGGGCTGCCTGGCCTGGAAAACTGAATGAATTATAAACTGCTCGATGCTGCTGAAATTGAGGGAACCTCTGTGGCAAGACTGAAAAGGTACTATTGAGAGAGTTGGCATTTGTAGGTGCAGCAGGATGCAGGAATCCAGAGCCCGGACCTTTGGCGGTTGTAGTGTGTGAAGAGGAGTTCTGAAGAGATGTGGGTGAAAGGGAAGGCTGGTCTTGGACTGACAGTTCCTTTTCAATTAGGTCTGCTAAGGCTTTTCGAGTGACATCAAAGGGATCAAAACCCAAGTCATCCTCTGGTTGTTTAGAAGAACCAAAGCCAAATGCTGCTTGCCAGTCTGTAGAGGACGATACTGGGATTGTTTCTGTTGGGAAGAATATTAATGAGGTATTTAAAATACATAGCACACGTTCATACTTACAGAGTATCCACACTAGTCAAAGTTAAGCACATCATATTACAAGATAAAGACAAATATATGCAAAATCTGTACAATTTTACAGCATGTTAAAATTACAAAAGGCCTCATATACTTCTGACAATAACGTCATTCCTAAATTACTAACCTGAAAAACACAATGATATAGACTGATTTTGCTAATCAAAGAAAACAAAGAAAACCCAAATTATACTCAACTATTCATAATTAAAGCCCAGAATTAGTCATTTATGAAATAGAGTGTAACAAATATAATAGAATTCACTTCATAAAGTTAATTTTTTTAAATGCATTTATCAAAGATAAAGTGTAATACTGCTAAATAACGTAACTTAATGAAAAAAAGTGTTTATTCTATGTATTTTTTTAAATTGCTCCACTGATAATAGGTATGACTGTCAATGTTAATTTAATGCCATTCTTTCTACTAATAAGAGAACCTACAATGAATAAAAATGTAAATGGCTCAAAAATATCCAAACAGAACTTTTAATATTAACTAACACATCTCTGTCACCTTGGGGAGGAAAAATCTTTAATTATACAAACACAAATCTAATTAGAAATGTGCACCCTTAATAATTCATGGAGGAATAAGCATCTTCTTATTAGAAAAATGATATAACTTTTGATTTCTGGAAAAATCTGTTAACACCGTAAGTTCTAGTTCATACAATTACTTATCTAACCATCCAATTCCATGCAGTTTAAGTATTTGCATTTTTATGAAAAAGGGAGTAGGGAGAAAAATGGTAAAAGCACATCCAAACAAGGGTCACATTTTAGTCTGAGTAATATTACTAACATGCAGTAGTACTGTTATATACCTGATGTGAAGAGGCTCTGTGGCTCTGGTGCTGTAGGCCAGTCACTGGATGCCTGTGGGGAACTGGGGAAAGGAGGAAGCCCACTTGGTATAGGGTTGGGATGGCGGAAGTTGTCTGAGAATAACGACTGTGACTCAGTTACTGCCCCTTCAAAAGGAGACCGTGCACTGTGATTAGATGAACTGATGGGGATGACTGGATTGGATTTTGATAAACCAGGTGGTGGTGAAGGTGTATCACTGTTAGGTATCTAAATAAAATAGGAGAAGGGAAGAACAATCAATATAAGTTTATACATTTTAATAAACCACAATTTAAAAGGCTTGCAACAAAAGGGATCCTCAAACTGGGAGTACATACTTGAAGACTCTCATGAGATTATGAATTTTCAAAATAATCTATCAACTTGTACATGTATATGTACTCCTTTTAAAACTGATTCTCCTGAAAAGACTAAGCCCATATCCTCTCCTTTTACAACCTAATTTCTCTCAATCCACAAAGAAAATAACATTCTTATTCTCTGAGACCTAACTATATAGTATTTTGCTCTGCTCAAGGGTGAAAACTTTTTGGGGGCCAAAGAAAAATCTATTTAAAATATTCAGACTGGTGATTACACAGTGACTGACTTTAATGACTAGATTCTTTTGCAAAGTAGGTGATTCTCAATACATTAGTTTTGAACAAAATGGAAACAAGATCTAATCAAGTTATTTCCAAACACATCACTAGAAATAATTTTGATAACTGTATGTGATTTTTAGGTATTCAATTCAGAAGGAATTCAAAGATTTCCGTGACAATGATATAATCTTCCTTCCATCTATTTACACACATAAACAAGATGTCTGAGCACTTCATTCAGGATACTGAAAGCATGACTGAGATTGCTGCTGAAACTTGTCTCCATGTACCAACAGGTAATATTCATCTACAGACACAGGAAAACTAACCTTAAAAGGGCCCTATACATCTAAGAGATGAATTTCCAATATAATTTTAGTGTTTGTTTAATGATTATCTTTTTAATCAAAATCTATTATATAAGTTGCTTTATCAAATCAGTACTACAAATAAAAATTCAGAAGAAAGAAATCTGGCACTTAAAACCTTGTGTCAACAAAAATATTTCTTTCCAATTCAAAATTTACATGTTGTTTTTTATTTGTGAGACGTATATGCCTGTCAAGAATAAACTATATTAATGCATTAAGATAAAATAGCAGTGGAATAGAAAAATGAGTCCAAGGAGAACAAGGAATGATGTAAAATTTGACTGTTAAAGAAGAACTTGTGTTTTTCTAAATGGATAAAGAGTAACAAAACACTATGATATTTAATCTCTTGGATACTTACCTTTGGTCTAAAGATCTAAAGTCTAAGTAGTCTAAGATCTAAAAGTATCTTTAAGAAGTGCTTTTATTTTAAAATATCAATATTTAAAATATGCTGGAAATTACATCTTTTGTAACTACTTTTTACCTTATGAAAAAATCTTTTAATGTTGACCTAAAACGTGCAAAGGGTATATACAGATTTTCAAATTCTTTTATGGAATTTGTAAGCAAGTTTGAAAAGGCAATGTAATCTCTAAGTTTCTCACAAACACTGTGGGGGAACTGGCCTTTCTTTATGGAAGAGATTAAACTACATTTTTTGTAACAGTTTAAGAAGGTATACAGAAACTTAAGCAGTGAAAAACTGGACAAAACAATACAACGCCTCTAACAATCAGGACCTCATTCAGTATCACTGTAGTTACAGCTCTTAACTATTTGGTTTATCATTTCAAAGCCCAGTCATTTGGGAAAAGGGAGAAAACTGTTGGGGCCAAGGACACTGAAAGAAATAGAAAATTAAAGTTGACGACAAGGGACAAGGAGAACTTATGACGGAGAAACAACTCTGAAAATTAAGAATGCAGAAGGCATGCTAGGCTGGGACCATTTCATATAGGGTCAGAAAAACCAACAGTATCAGCGGACTCCGACGATATGAATGTAATGTCACACAGTACAAAAACATATGGTCATAATGAAAATTCTGAGTCATCAAGAAAGGGTTAAATTATGCTACATACAAACACACACACACACACAAAATGGAGGAAAAGAAAGCTAATTATAACACACTTACAAAGATGTCCACTAAAAATGCTTTTAAATTGTTTTAGTATTTGAAGTATTTTTCACTAATCTAGAAAATTCACTTGCATAGAATGCCTTGTTTTGAGGGATGGCAGAAAAATGAGGTAGTACACTATCAAAAGCTTACCTGTTGAGCATTATCACCATTCCCTATACTGAGAGAATCTGAAGGTTTGTCAATGGGGCTGTAAAAAAAAAAAAAAATCTAATAAAATCACAGTAAAGTTATTTTCTCACAATAACAAACTCCCCAAAAGCCAGAAAAAACAGACATTTTATCATGTTAACATCTGTTTAGCACTACATGAAGTGCTTATGAAGTACTAGGGTGTAAGACATTAAGTTAGATGTTGAGGATGAAGATAAAATACCTACCCTTGAGCAGCTTACATTTTAATTAGATTCTAAAAAACAATGGGTGAAACAACAGCTTATGAAAAAAAAATACTGCTTAAAATACTCCAATAAGTAGATCAAAAGTCTAACTATTTAGTTTTGTGCACCTAATAAACACAGTCTCTGTTAAAGTCCTTGAAATAATATTATTTTTCTAAGTGTTTAACAGGTCATAAAAATTACTGAAATGTTCTCCATAGGTTCTTAAGAGCAATAAATTTCTTTTAATACTTAAATATCCTAATCCTAACCCAAACTTTTGTGCAAAATTGACTCTTAAATAAAAATACTAAAACTTGACTCAATATAGAGAAAATGCAGTACAACAGAAAGTAACACAGAACTACTAACCTCATGCTCACTTTAACTCATAGGACTTAAAAATAAAATGAAATCTGTATAAGTATTACAACACTGACCTAGCGAGCCATTTCTATAACTAACTTTATGTAACCCAGCACATGAATAAAAAGTAAGTATTAGAACCCAAACACTAATACTTATTTCTAATACAGTATTGAAGCAAAAAAAATTAAGATTGCAAATTTCTCAAAATCATTTCATTCCTAGAAATACATATGAAGTCACCTTACAAAAAGACAGCTTACTGGTACCACATTTAATAGCTCTAGAAAAAATCTAACAAGGGCTAGTACCTAATGAGTACCAAATGTATGTTCTGCAGAAACACTGTCAGATGCTCTTGAATCTGACAAATAGGTATGAAATTTACTTGAAGGGAATTATTATTATTATTTACAAAATAGCAAAAAATCAACTCATGTTACTAAGTCAGGTTGGTAATGCAAATAATCTTAAGATACAGTTTTGAGTCCACTAAATTTAGAGGTATTTGGGGAAACAAGACAGATATACACCAATATTAGCCAGAGCCAACTATTAAATGAACTGCCTAAACAAATGTCATAGGTCTTCAGAAGAAAGAGAAGCCATCACAAGTGGGGCAATTAGGGAAGGTTTCCTGGAGGGGGTTCACATTTAAGTAGGTCCTTAGGATTTATGCATTAGGAAAAGGAAGGGAAAGAGGGCAAAGAACAGCAACAAAAGGTAGGAATAGCGAGTGTATCAAGAATCACAAGGGTCCAAGTTAAGAAAGTAGTTTAACATACAGGGTAATTTAACAACAATGGGAGGTAACAACAGAAAGATGGAGGCCAGACATCAGAGGCCAACTGAAATTTCTGAACACAGAAATGATATAAACAAAGCAGTGTTTTACAAAGGTTAACTTGGTGCTAGCATGAAAAACAGAATGGAACATTCTATGGATAATCTGAGATAAACTTGGAACATTAAAAAGTTTTGTGGTAAATTACACAACATAAAACTTACCATCTTAACCATTTTTAAGTGAACACAGTTCAGCTGGTTAAATACATTCACACTGTTGTGAAACAATCACCACCACCTATCCCCTTAACTCTATCTTGTAAAACTGAAATCTATAGCCCTTATACAATAACTTGTCTTTCCCCTTCCCCCCAGCAACACCCATTACACTATGACTTTTGACTACCTAAATAACTTGTATAAGTGAAATCAGAGTACTTGTCTTTTTTGTGACTAGCTTATTTCAAAAACAATAATGTCCCCAAAGTTCATCCACGTAGTAGCATACTGCAGGATTTCCTTATTAAGACTAAAAAACATTACACATTTTCCTTGCCCATGCATCTGTCCTTGGAGACTTGGGTTGCTTCCACGCTTAAGCTACTGTGCATAATACTGCATGACATAGGTATACAATTATCTCTTTGAAATCCTGCTTTAAATTCTTCTAGTTGAATACCTGGAAGTGGAATTGATAGATCATTTGGCAGTTCTGTTTTTAAGTTTTTGAGGAACAACCACAATGTTTTTCTACAGTAACTATACCATTTTACATTACCACCAATAGAGCACAAGGGTTCCAATTTCTCCATATCTTTTCAAACACTTGTTTTCTTCTTTTTTGATGGCAGCCATCCTATCAAATTATCTCACTGTGGTTTTGGTTTTAATTTCCCTAATGACTAGTGATGCTGAGAATTTTTCATGTGCTTATTGACCATTTACATACCTTCTATGAAGAAATATCTTCTCAAGTTCTTCACCCACTTTTCAATCAGGTTATTTGGTTTTTGTTGTTGAGTTTTTACGGGTTTTCTATATATGCTGGTTATTAATCCCTTATCAGATACGTGATTTTTCAAATATCTTCTCCCATTCTGTGGGCTGCCTTTTTACTGCGCTATCTTTTGAGTTACAAAATTTTTAAATTTTCATGAAGTTCAATTTGTCTATTTTTTAAATTATGTTATATATAATAATCTGTCTATTATTTTTTATGTGCCTTTGGTATCATATCCAAGATCATCACTGCCAAATCTAATGTCCTGAAGTTTTTGTCTTGTTTTCTTTTAAAGATTTCATTGTGTGTAGTAATTTCATTCTAAAATAGAAGTGGAGGATTAAAGTGGGCAATCTCATGCATGTATCCTCAAGACGACAAATCCAAGGACTAAAAGACTGCTTTCCCATAAATGCCAGATTTACAGAAAACTGATGGTGTCAGACTTTTCTTGGATGATGGGGGAACTGATCAGAGGTTGTCTTACATCAACTTTGGAAGTTTTACCAGAGTCATGAATGGGACACGACCCCAGTTGGGTTGGTTTCACAACTTGGCTGAACTGAGCTGCTTGTGTGACTGGACTGATTTTATCAGCTGAGGAAAATTTTCAAGGCTGTTCTCCATTTGTTATTTCAACTGACTCTAACTGAACTCCCCTCTTTACATTCTCTTCCCATAAATAAAACTTACCTCAAACCGTCAATGGACTCATCTGTAACTTGCTGGATTGCTTGTCCCAAATTGCAATTCCTCTGCTTATTACCAAATAAACTCATTTTTGGCTTGCCTCAGTTTACCTCAAGTTAACAATTGTTTTAGGATGATATTTAAGTCACTGATCTGTTCTAATTATTTTTTTAATATGGTGTTAGATAAGGGTCCAACTTCATTCTTCTGCATGTGGATATTCAGTTTTCCCAGCACCACTTGCTAAAACATTGGTCCTTTCCTCACAGAATGATCTTGGCACATTTATCAAAAACTGTTAGACCCTGTATGTGATGGTTAATTTCTGGGTTCTCTTCTATTCCACTGATCTGTATGTCCATCTTTATACCCAAAACCACAGTTCTGATTACTGTTGCCTTGTAATAAGTTTTGAAATCAGGAACTGTGGGTCCTCCAGTTTTGTTCTTTTTCCAGATCACTTTGCCTATTGAGGATCCTTCTTTTTCAAGATTATTTTGTCTAGGGGGGGGGGGGAGCCTGTCTACCAAGGATCCAGATGAATTTTAAGATGTTTTCTATCTGCAAATAAAAAAAGTCGCTGGGATTTTGACTCTTTAGATAGCTCTGGGTAACCTGACATTTTAATATTGTCTTTCAATTGATGCACGTGGGATACATTTTCATTTATTTATGTATTAATTTCTTTCAGCAATTTTTTTGTAGTTCTCATCATAACAACACTTCCTTGGTTAATTCTTAAGTACTTTACTCTTTTTTTATGCTATTGAGTTGTTTTTGTAATTTCCTTTTGACTGTTCATTGTTCATGTATAGAAACACAACTGATTTTTGTGTGTTGACTTTGTATCCTGCTACACTGCTGAATTCATTTATTCTAATTGGTGTGTATGTTTGTTGTGTGTGCAATATCTTTAGGAGTTTCTACATATAAGACCAAGTCATCTGCAAAAAGAGATTATTTTACTTACTCTTTTCCAATTTGGATGCCTATTTTACTTGGCTAATTGCTATGGCTAGAACATCTGTGTTGAACAGAAGGGGAAAGTGGGCATCCTTGTATTGTTCCTCATTGTAGAGGAAAAGCTTTCAGTCTTTCAACACTGAGTATCATGTTCACTACGGGTTTTATATATATGCCTTTTATTATGTTGAGGTAATTTCCTTCCACTCCTAGGTGGTTGTTTTTGTCATGAAAGGGTGTTGAATTCTGTTAAATGCTTTTACTCCATCAAGATGATCATGAAGCTACACTCTGCTGATGTGGCATATTACATTGCTCGATTTTTGTATATTAGGCAATCCTTACATTCTAGGAATAAATTCCCCTTGGTTATGGTATATAATCCTTTTAATGTGCTATATTCTATAGCTTATATTCTGTTGAGGATTCTTGCATGAATGTTTGTAAGCCACTGATTTGTAGTTTTCTTAGTGTCTTTGTCTGGCTTTGGTATCAGTAATACTGGCCTCACAGAATGAATTAGGAAGCATTCCCTCCTCTTCAGCTTTTTGGAAAAATTTGAGAAAGGCTGGTATTAGTTCTTTAAATGTTGGGTAGAATCTACCAGTGAAGCCCTCAGGTCCAGGGCATTTCTTTGTTGGGAGATTTTTGACTAGATTCAATCTCCTTACTAGTTATACATCTATTCATGCTTTCTATTCATGATAGTCTTGGTAGATTTTGTGTTTCTAGGAATTTGTTCATTTCATCTGTCATCCAATTATGTGGTGTGCAAGTCTTCACAACTCTTATACTTTATTTCTGTAAAACATGTAGAAATATCCCCACTTTCATTTCTGATTTAATAATAAGATTTTTTCCCCCTAGTCCACCTGGGTAAAGGTTTGCCAATTTTGTTATCTCCTCAAAGAACCAACTTTTATAGTCTCATTGATTTTTCTCTATAGTTTTTCTATTCTCTATTTCATTTATCTCTGCCCTAAACTTTATTTTCTTTTTCCTTCT